TTAAGGGATTTAGTCTCATAGGGAGTCACATAGTTGCGTATACTGTATAGGCATTCAGTTATAAGCTCTGAAGTATTTTTGTTGAAATTTGTTTTTATTCGAACCGAAATTTTTAAAAACGTGAAATATAAATGTTTTATCCGCATTTGTAAAGAATTTTCTCATGTATTTTCTCATTTGAAAGGTCATAGGGAGAATGTCGCTTTTGATTGAAATATTGGGACTTCAACTTGTTTATTTACACTTTATTTTATACATAGTTGTATATTTACAGGATATAATATACGAATACATATTATAATACAAATAAAGGAAATTATATTATTTTAGGTGATAAAAGAGTAGGGCGATTAAAGTAGTTTATGCTTTCTAGTTAATTGCCCTAGTTAATTGGGAACATTTTTGATATGAGTCTCGTCCGCCAAGAATTTTGATGTTTCTATCAAAATCCCGCGTCTTCTTTATGATATTTATCAAATTGATTTTCTTGTTAATAGTGAAGCCCTGACCATGTTTCGGATGATGTTACTTTTCTTCCAAGTCTACACAATTCACGCCTGTGAAAAGTACAGCTTTGTCAAAGAACAAGATGTAGAATTCAAAGACCACGTGATAACAACCATGACCACGCCCTATGTCGAGTTGTGCTGGGATAAATGTGTGTGGATCATGAATTGCTTCTCCATCAATGTTCGTGTGAACAGTTTTGGGATGGTTGAATGTGAACTGAACAACTCCAGCAAGAAAGCGAGTCCAGGGAGCCTGGTACCAACACAGGGATCCCAGTACCACCAAATGAAGGTAAGTGGTGTTGGATGCCGTATTCGTTACGTGTGGTTATAGTTAATTGTCTATTGTACTTTTCTCTAGGAAATAAATGACTGTGATAACGTCGAATGCAAAATTAAGGAAAGTGAGTTAATATACCACAATTTAATTACATGATAAATCTATAAATTGAGGCTTCACTACATAGCTTTTGCATGGTAATATTTTCATAATTTAAAATTTGTTTTAGAACTCCCCGATGAATGGTATMGTCTCGGTAACTCGGYAATAAAGATGTTTCATGAGAACAAAACCTGGATTGATGCGCAAGCCCACTGCCAGACCATGGGAGGTGATCTGTTGTCTATAGGAACTGCGTACGAAAACAACTTTGTCAAAAACGTGCTTATCAAAAAGTTTGAATACTTCAGAAAAGAGAAAGGTACTTGCTTTTTATTTTTTGTTTTTGCTTTGTCTTTGTTTTTTGTTTTTTGTTTTTTGTTTTTTG